CATTAGTATAGGCCTGCCAAATAATCTCCTAGGGTCGCCCATTTGTACAATGCATCATCAGCGCCCAAAATCTTTCTAAAAATCCAAAATATCATATTCGAATTACCGAACCAATACAAGTGGACATATAATGGTAGTGCAAAGCAGTCAAAAACTGGCCGGGCATCCAACTATTTTTAGACCACGACTGGCTCCTCCCACACGTTATGAATCTTCACACAGATGCCTCCAATAGAGGTGGTAGAGCAACATTTCAAAACTATTTCACAGCATTTATCTGGTCCCAATCAATAGACTTAGCTACAACAAACATTCAAATTCGGGAATTACTCACCATCCTGGTCACTGTTCGGACATTCACCCCCATGTGGCAGAGAAAAAAGCTACTGATCTGGACTAACAACCTATCAAACGCAGAAGCATACTATGCAGGATATTGTAAAAATCACTGTATAAATAATATAATTGCTGACATATATAGGAGCCAAATTCAAGGAAACTTCTTCATAAAAATTGAGCACATCCCAGGTGCAGAAAACACTGATGCAGACCTGCTGTCCCATAATGGCCACTGAGAATTTATTGCCAAGAACCCACTAGCTCGCTACTTCCCACCAAACATTCCTAGTGAATCCTCAGACTTAATCACCCTTATACTATCTCTCAAACAATAGGTGTCAATCACACGACAGCAGCTACAGCTCAATTCCCACGAGCCTATAATAACAACTCTGAAATATTTGGCAATGAACCAGCCTTGGACCAACAAGCCACAGCTATCCTGAATATTGTAGCACTAGTCAAAAAGACATACGAAGGAATCACCAAATGATATGAACAGCTGGCCTGAAGCAACCAATGGCTTAACAATAATGGATCGGCCTGGCCAGTATCTAAAGACTCTCTTATCAAATACATAACGTTTCTTCACCAGAGGGTATCACCCTCTACAATACTATCCTATTTATCAGCACTAAGGCACCGCCACACAAGAAACCACTATGATTGGATCAGCACCCGCTTTGACCTCTTGATAATTCAACTTCTGAAAACCATTGAATCATCCCATATTCATGCTTCTGCAAACAAAAAACTCACATTACCCGGCAGCATCTCAGACTAATCAAATCCAAGCTCAATTTTAACAATCCTATAGATATTCTCTTCTGGCAGTAGCACTATCTGCGTTCTATAGCCTGGCACGGCTTGGTGAACTACTTCCAAACAATCAATCAGATTACACGAAAGTTCCCACACTCAAAGGACTAAGTTTTAGCAAGACGGATAACTCCACGTTCATGACTATCCAACTTCCAAGGACGAAAACGCACAATTCAACCGATTGTGCATCACTGATTATAAACTCAACAAACGACAATCTCTGCCCAATTTGTGCTCTCAAAGTATACTATTACTTAAGAACGCAGGAAACATACTCCAAAAACTGCTCAATACTATTTGCTAAACCTGATGGCACGTGGGCGACAAAGCGTTGGTTCATCTCCAAGCTTAAACAGCTTCTGCCCCATGAGGATGTTGCAGGACATAGCTTTTGTGCAGGTGGAACCACCGAATTGGTTGCATGAGGAGTACAGTTAGTCTTGATACAAAAAATCAGCAGATGGGAGTCAGATTTATTTTACCGTTATATTCGCAGTCATCCAGCAACAATCGCATCAATCCTAACAAAAGCTTACACCTAATTGATCCTTGACATAACTCCTTGGAACAACACCGGATCAATTAAAAAAAAAAAAAAAAAAAAAGGGGGGGAAGAACAAGAGTGCAAATATACAAAATTCAGACATTCACACGGAAAAAAAAAAAAAAAAAAGAGAGAAAAGAGAGAAAGAGCAATGAGACAAGCAAAAAATAAATAAATAAAATAAAAATAAAAGAAAAGAGAAAAGAGAGAAACAAACAAGCAGACAAACATAAGTAACAGTACAATAAGCATGCAGAAAATCATCAATCAATGAGGAAACAACAAAGACACTCAACACATAGCAAGAAGCAACACGCATCGAAGATACCAGGATAAAGCACCAACAAGCCTTGCCATACCAAGCATGACGCACCGATCCGCCTGGAACAATTAGCACTAAAAAAAAAAAAAAAAAAAAAAAAAAAAAACAAACGGCAAAAACAAAAAACAATAGCAAAAAAAAACAAACTTACACAAATAAAACAAAAAAACAACCCCCACCGAAAAAACCAGGAAAAAGCCCCAACAAGCCTGGCCACACCAAGCATGCCGCCCCGACCCGCCCGGAAAAAATAGAACAAAAAAAAAAAAAAAAAAAAAAAAAAAAAAACGAACGGCAATATCAAAGAACAATGGCAGAATAAAACAATCTTACACAAATAACAATAATGATCTTACACAAATAACAATAATGATCTTACACAAATAACAAGGAGAACAAAATTTATATATATATAACAGAAAGTCAAACAACGAACGAGTGAACACATAATCACATCCCCAGAACAGTCAAGTCGCAGAATCAGGTGATGGTTCCAAACTTGTTATACTCCAGCGTTCTAGATTAATACTCCCTCTTTTTTTTTTTTTTTTTTTTAAAAAAATTTGGGCTTCACATGCTGTTGGTGTGATTGGCTTCCTTGTTAGTGCTACTGCTAAATAGGCTGTTGCCTTTAATTAATCGGGAATTGATCTGGAATGCTGGGGATGGCTTGCGTGATATGATTCTGCGACTTGACTGTTCTGGGGATGTGATTATGTGTTCACTCGTTCGTTGTTTGACTTTCTGTTATATATATATAAATTTTGTTCTCCTTGTTATTTGTGTAAGATCATTATTGTTATTTGTGTAAGATCATTATTGTTATTTGTGTAAGATTGTTTTATTCTGCCATTGTTCTTTGATATTGCCGTTCGTTTTTTTTTTTTTTTTTTTTTTTTTTTTTTTGTTCTATTTTTTCCGGGCGGGTCGGGGCGGCATGCTTGGTGTGGCCAGGCTTGTTGGGGCTTTTTCCTGGTTTTTTCGGTGGGGGTTGTTTTTTTGTTTTATTTGTGTAAGTTTGTTTTTTTTTGCTATTGTTTTTTGTTTTTGCCGTTTGTTTTTTTTTTTTTTTTTTTTTTTTTTTTTTAGTGCTAATTGTTCCAGGCGGATCGGTGCGTCATGCTTGGTATGGCAAGGCTTGTTGGTGCTTTATCCTGGTATCTTCGATGCGTGTTGCTTCTTGCTATGTGTTGAGTGTCTTTGTTGTTTCCTCATTGATTGATGATTTTCTGCATGCTTATTGTACTGTTACTTATGTTTGTCTGCTTGTTTGTTTCTCTCTTTTCTCTTTTCTTTTATTTTTATTTTATTTATTTATTTTTTGCTTGTCTCATTGCTCTTTCTCTCTTTTCTCTCTTTTTTTTTTTTTTTTTTCCGTGTGAATGTCTGAATTTTGTATATTTGCACTCTTGTTCTTCCCCCCCTTTTTTTTTTTTTTTTTTTTTAATTGATCCGGTGTTGTTCCAAGGAGTTATGTCAAGGATCAATTAGGTGTAAGCTTTTGTTAGGATTGATGCGATTGTTGCTGGATGACTGCGAATATAACGGTAAAATAAATCTGACTCCCATCTGCTGATTTTTTGTATCAAGACTAACTGTACTCCTCATGCAACCAATTCGGTGGTTCCACCTGCACAAAAGCTATGTCCTGCAACATCCTCATGGGGCAGAAGCTGTTTAAGCTTGGAGATGAACCAACGCTTTGTCGCCCACGTGCCATCAGGTTTAGCAAATAGTATTGAGCAGTTTTTGGAGTATGTTTCCTGCGTTCTTAAGTAATAGTATACTTTGAGAGCACAAATTGGGCAGAGATTGTCGTTTGTTGAGTTTATAATCAGTGATGCACAATCGGTTGAATTGTGCGTTTTCGTCCTTGGAAGTTGGATAGTCATGAACGTGGAGTTATCCGTCTTGCTAAAACTTAGTCCTTTGAGTGTGGGAACTTTCGTGTAATCTGATTGATTGTTTGGAAGTAGTTCACCAAGCCGTGCCAGGCTATAGAACGCAGATAGTGCTACTGCCAGAAGAGAATATCTATAGGATTGTTAAAATTGAGCTTGGATTTGATTAGTCTGAGATGCTGCCGGGTAATGTGAGTTTTTTGTTTGCAGAAGCATGAATATGGGATGATTCAATGGTTTTCAGAAGTTGAATTATCAAGAGGTCAAAGCGGGTGCTGATCCAATCATAGTGGTTTCTTGTGTGGCGGTGCCTTAGTGCTGATAAATAGGATAGTATTGTAGAGGGTGATACCCTCTGGTGAAGAAACGTTATGTATTTGATAAGAGAGTCTTTAGATACTGGCCAGGCCGATCCATTATTGTTAAGCCATTGGTTGCTTCAGGCCAGCTGTTCATATCATTTGGTGATTCCTTCGTATGTCTTTTTGACTAGTGCTACAATATTCAGGATAGCTGTGGCTTGTTGGTCCAAGGCTGGTTCATTGCCAAATATTTCAGAGTTGTTATTATAGGCTCGTGGGAATTGAGCTGTAGCTGCTGTCGTGTGATTGACACCTATTGTTTGAGAGATAGTATAAGGGTGATTAAGTCTGAGGATTCACTAGGAATGTTTGGTGGGAAGTAGCGAGCTAGTGGGTTCTTGGCAATAAATTCTCAGTGGCCATTATGGGACAGCAGGTCTGCATCAGTGTTTTCTGCACCTGGGATGTGCTCAATTTTTATGAAGAAGTTTCCTTGAATTTGGCTCCTATATATGTCAGCAATTATATTATTTATACAGTGATTTTTACAATATCCTGCATAGTATGCTTCTGCGTTTGATAGGTTGTTAGTCCAGATCAGTAGCTTTTTTCTCTGCCACATGGGGGTGAATGTCCGAACAGTGACCAGGATGGTGAGTAATTCCCGAATTTGAATGTTTGTTGTAGCTAAGTCTATTGATTGGGACCAGATAAATGCTGTGAAATAGTTTTGAAATGTTGCTCTACCACCTCTATTGGAGGCATCTGTGTGAAGATTCATAACGTGTGGGAGGAGCCAGTCGTGGTCTAAAAATAGTTGGATGCCCGGCCAGTTTTTGACTGCTTTGCACTACCATTATATGTCCACTTGTATTGGTTCGGTAATTCGAATATGATATTTTGGATTTTTAGAAAGATTTTGGGCGCTGATGATGCATTGTACAAATGGGCGACCCTAGGAGATTATTTGGCAGGCCTATACTAATG